CTGAGCCGAAGCTGGACGCTTAACTGACTGAGCTACCCAGGTTCCCCCAAGTTTATTTATTTTTTAATGGTTATTTATTTTAAGAGAGAGAGAGAAAGTGAGAAAAAGTGAGAGAGGGACAGAGAGATGGGGAGGGAGAGAGAGAGATTCCTTGGCAGGTCCTGTGCCGTCAGCATGAAGCCTGACACGGGGCTTGATCTCACAAAGTGTGAGATCATGACCTGAGCTGAAATCAAGAGAAGGGCGCTTAACTGACTGAGCCACCCAGGTGCCCCAATAAAGGTAAGTTTCAAGCAATCTCACTGCATTATCACCAATGTGGTAACTCGCTGCATGAAAGCCCATGATTTTCAGCATCTGGGTGAAGAACAGAGCAGTCTGTCTGTCTCAAAGTGATTGGTCATGCAAGCATCTGGGGCGAGCAAACAGGGAGGGCAATATGGGTGTATGTTTCTTCCTAGTCAATTTCTAATAGCTTCTGGCAAGACCACACATCTCACCATCATGCCTGCGCTTACAGATCGCATGACTGACAAGAACATGGCGTCCAGAGCTGGAAAACAACCTCTTCGGTACTACTGAGCCAGCCTGATGAAGGGTCAACCAGAGCAACAATAATTGGAAAAACACAGAAGGCTATTTTACAAGCAAAATGCAGGATACGAGTCCAACACAGCTTACTAGAACATAGTTGGGTGGGGGGGTTGTTTTTGTTAATTAACCTTTGTCTGGATAAACCTGGAGTACAGAGACAGATATGAAGTCAAGCATGTTCGTATTGACACTGCAAACTTGATTTTGCATAAAAATATTAGATAACTTGTAATTTTAGGAAATATTCAATTTAGTATTGATGGAAACAAAATCTGCCAATATGAATGATCAAACCCAATTTTCAAGGACTTGACATTTTTATCTAATGGCATCAATTTTCTGAAGCAGGTACATGAATAAATGTAGGTGTCTAATATTTACTTCTTAAAATCTACAAGTTTTGAAAAATTACACATTCAGGCATTTAGGGATGCTAACTTTTCAGCAACTGATGTCCCTTTGGATAAAATAGTAGTGTGCATTGCATCAGTGTGGGCGTTTTGTGCAACGGATTATTGGGAACCCAACTCCAGAATGTCAAAATGGGAACTTTAGAGTAACCCGAAAAGAGACTTCAAAAATAAATTCCAGGAGCGGGGCGCCTGGGTGGCTTAGTCGGTTAAGCGTCCGACTTTCGCTTAGGTCATGATCTCGCGGTTCGTGGATTCAAGCCCTGCGTCGGGCTCTGTGCTGACAGCCAGCTCAGAGCCTGGAGCCTGTTTTGGAGTCTGTGACTCCCTCTCTCTCTGACCCTCCCCTGCTCAGGCTGTCTCTCTCTCTCTCGCCTAGAAATAAATAAAACATTTAGAAAATAAAAATAAAAATAAATAAATTCCAGGAGCACTTAGTCTTGTGTTGAGAGATGATACTAACTCAGTATTATCTCAAGAGTGACAGGCACTTCCATTAGGGAACTCACAAAAAATGCTGAAAAACATGTGGTTACATAGGAGTCAGGACTCAGGGCTTTCTGAACCCCTTGAACCTTCCTATATATATATTACAATCTAAAATTACATACTGACTGTTCTCACCACCTTATGCAGTGATCAGCTATATATAAAATTCCTGGCAGAAGCCATGATGTTTCAGATATTTCTAATTTTTCATAATAACTCGTAAAAGCTCAATGACTTCTATGCAAAGTAAGAAACTAAGAAGGTAAGAAAGACCACCTTCTTTACAACCTCCAAGTACCGTACCATAGACCAAGGAGACTTTAATCATATAATCAGGTGGTCTAACAAGATCTGCAGCAGCAGAGCATGTACCAAATTTTCAAAAGAGCAAAAACTACTATATATGAAGAATCATCATCGTTATAATCATCCACATTTCATACAATTCACATTTTGCATCATAATACCCAAAACTGAAGTGAACTAAGATGTTCTCCGGCATTTACAGAGGGGAAGGAAATGCCAGTAAAGAATCAGGGATGCTGGCTTTTAACAGAAAATATACGTAGATAATCCTTCAGAAGGAATATCGATAAACTGTGCGTCTCAATCTCGTTTTAGGAATGGGTATGAAATCAGATGGTGAAATGAAGCAATATTTAGTGAAATGTGCATTGTATACGATCAGAGTAGCAACGACCTCGTCAGTTGATTGCCACTCTCTTAAAAAAATTAATTTAAATTTGCGAAGAGTGGCCTGAATATAATAAATAAGCTTTATGCTTACCATTTTATAAAGGCTGCTTATCATATGCTAAGTTATTAATTTTTTAATTAAATGTAGTAGAAATAAATTCATCTTAAACATCAGGAATTTCCCTTCTAATGTTTATAAACTTGGCAGGGCCACCATACTGACAGCACAGAAGCCTGAATCATAAAGATATTCTGTCCGCGCAAATCAGAAATACAATATACAGACCCGTTGGGATCCTTTAAACTAATTAAATATGTGCTTATTTAGTTTTTACAGTCTTTGGGCAACCACTGGAAAGTTTAGATGTTAAGCTGGCTATTAGAGTAACCACCAGACCAAAACTAGTAAATTTGATCATTTATTTTTTAATGCTTATTTATTTATTTTGAGGGAGAGAGAGAAAGGACACATGCAAGCACAAGCAGGGGAGGGGCAGAGAGAGAGAGAGAGAGAAAGAGAGAGAATCTCAAGCAGGCACCTATGCCGTCAGCACAGGGCTCAACTCGGGGCTCAAACTTGTCAACAGTGAGATCATGACCTGAGCCAAAATCAAGAGTTGGACACTTAACCAACTGAGCCACCCAAGCTCCCCTGATCATTTAATTATTAACTAAAATCTGGCTTCAAATGAGAAGATATTTTTACTGGAGTACTAAAGGTTATCAAAAATGATGCTTTGTAAATATCTGGAGGAGTAAATCTCTCACCAGAAATGCTTCTTCATGGTAAACAGCCGTGAAGGTGGTCCTCAGGTCATCAGCGGGCACATTCTCCCATCCTAAACTCACCAAAATTCTTCATTCGGTCCATACTCTGCCCTTCCAGTCTATTTGGTCACTTACTAGGTTCCCATACTTGATTTTTAAGGACACAACAAAATTCAAGCTATACTTAAACTACGCTCTTAGAAATACCAAAGGAAGGGAGAAAAAACCTCGGTCCCTTAGTAATTTCTTCAGAATTTACATTTACAAGGGTTAATTTAAAATTTTCACTTTCTGAATTCTTCTCTCACCAAAAAATTAATCTTCCCCTTTATTCTTAGGTCATCTCTATACCCAACGTGGGGTTCAAACTCATGACCCCAAGATCAAGAGTCACACACTCTTCTGACTGAGCTAGCCAGATGCCCCTAATCTATTCCTTTAAACAGTAGTAAAATGTGTGAATTTTAAATATGCGTATTAAGTTATTTTATACACTGAACTATTATTCGTGCACAAGATAAAGTAATTTAGTCAGTGACACTCAAGGAGCAAGAATGAATGAATGCATCTCCAAAAAGTAAGCCATAAGCTCCCTTCCCACTGATAGGAAGGGAATCTCTTTTCAGCAGGAGCTGTCGCCTGGACACCTGCCAGGTTTGGATGGAGCCTTTTCCCCATCACGATCCCACGGCAGTGTCACATCTCATGGATGCCAGACAGTGCTTGTTAAGTGTTCTCCTGGGCCTGTGACATTGGCTCATTCATTTGTCGTTTTAGTTACTCATGATAAGCGTACTTGACTAGTCACCCATCCACAGAGTGCTAAAACTGAAAAGGGATGACAAAATAGAAAATACTATAGAGCCTCCAATAATTCCCTTCTGATTTGAATCTCCTTTATGGTCATTTGCTGGCAATCAACAGGGAAGGGAGATGTCAAAACAAACAAAAAAGATTAATACTAAAGAAGAAGGAAGCTAGCAAAATGAAAACATGTTGAACCTGCTTCCTCATTTTCACTGAACTGCAATATAAATACCTTTTTTTTCCTTACAAATAGTTTATTGTCAAGTTGGTTTCCATATAACACCCAGTGCTTATCCCCACAAGTGCCCCCCTCCATGCCCATCTCCCCCCTCCCCCCCACATCCATCAGTCCTCAGTTTGTTCTCAGTATTCAAGAGTCTCTCATGGTTTGCCTCTCTCCCTTTCCCCCACCATTTCCCCCCTTCTTCTCCCCCATGGTCCTCCGTTAAGTTCCTCCTATACGTGCAAACATATGATATTTGTCCTTCTCTGCCTGACTTATTTTGCTAAGCATAACACCCTCAAGGTCCATCCATGTTACTACACAAGGCCAGATTTCATTGTTTCTCATTGCCATGTAGTATTCCATGGTATAGATAAACCACATCTTCTTCATCCATTCGTCCGTTGATGGACACTTAGGCTCTTTCCATGTTTTGCCTATTGTTGAGAGTGTTGCTATGAACATTGGGGTCCATGTGCCCCTATGCATCAGCACTCCTGGATCCCTTGGGTAAATTCCTAGCAGTGCTATTGCTGGGTCATAGGGGAGTTCTAGTGTTAGTTTCCTGAGGAACCTCCACACTGTTTTCCAGAGGGGCTGCACGAGTTTGCATTCCCACCAACAGTGTAGGAGGGTGCCCGTTTCTCCACATCCTCGCCAGCATCTAGAGTTCTCTGATTTGCTCATTTTAGTGTGGGTTGTTTCAAAAATAAACTCAAAATGGATAAAGGACCTGAACGTGAGACAGGAAACTATCAACACCCTAGAGGAGAAAGCAGGAAACAACCTCCTTGACCTCCACCGCAGCAACTTCTTACTTGACACATCCCCAAAAGCAAGGGAATCAAGAGCAAAAATAAACGATTAGGACCTCATCAAGATTAAAAGCTTCTGCACGGCAATATAAATACTTTTTTGAACCGTAAGAATGAATATTAACTAAGAACGATAATTATTCTCTCTGAGAAAGAAAGAATCATGATGGATTAGCAACAAGACGGCATCAGACTCACCATCTCTGCGATTAAGACTTGCAAACCCGGGGCCGTGGCTGCTGGACAGCTCCGACGAGCTGCTGAAGGACGCTCGGGGCAGGGTGGATGCCAGCGGGGCGTCACAGCTATCTGTGTGGAAAATACCAAGTTCAAGTTAACCTACTGCTCAAGGCTGTTCTGTCTTTTTCTCCCACTCTCTTTCTTCTTCCCTCCCACCCTTCCTCCTTTCCTTCCTTCTTTCTTTTTTAGTTAACAGGCTAAGAAAATGCTAGAACCTGTAGCAAACATCAGTCTTAATCAGAAGTGTGTTAGCAAATGTATCACCATAGCCTCTTAAAGCAAATAAAAGCCCTGATTGGGAGCATTTGCCATCTTCTATGGTGTAAATATTCCCAACGTGGCCACTTCAGAGCTGTCAACGTGACGTCATCAACCATGGAACTGGAAAGAGATGCACACATGTCACATCATTTCACAGTATTTCCACGATGCAGATGCAAGATACGGAAATAACATCAAGAGCATAGATAATGAATAGGAAGATGCCATGAAATTAAGTAATTAAGTGGTGTGTTTGGAAAATTTACCTCTGTTTTTAACATGATTTACTTAATTGTAACTTAGTATAATTTAATCTTTAATGATGGCTGTATCTTAACATCTGGCTTACAAAATTCATGAAAAGTGAATGATTGGCTCTTGCTAGCTGCTAAAAGTTAGTTCCAGCCCACTGACCCTCAATGGGGAACTATCAGAAGAATTTCCTTTAAAATCAAAAAGAAGATTTTAATAGGCATCACTGCTTCTGTTGAATGCTGCTCTCAAAGTCCTATCAGTACATCAGAGAACATTTAAAAATTAAAAGCCCAGAATTGGGGGGGAGGGGGGGGAGGAACTGTCATCGCTTCCAGATGACATGATTGCACAGGTAGAAAATCCAAAAGTAACTGACTGGCTTAATAGCTCAATATCCCAAAACTGATTTCATTTTAAATTCCATCTAGGGTTAGAAAATAAATTAACCAGAATATCAAATAATAACAAAACACATAAAGTATCTAAGAACGAATCTTCCCAAACTGCAAAACGTTTATGGGGATTATGATAACTGTATTGAAAGACATTACATAAAATACAGTGTTCAGTCATTGCCAACAGGAAGACACAATTGTTAAAGGATCAGTTGTCCCCAGACTGAGGTAAAGATTCAGTAGAAGTCCAATCAAAAGCCTCAGAGGGTTTTTCAGAGACACTGAATCAAGGAATCACAGCCCAGTTCATAACATGGGATACAAATATGTTTTAAGAAGCCTGTGAAAGACACATAGGAGAAAAAAACCCCTACATCTTCATTTTCATTAACCTCTAGCTCAAATTTAGCACTTTCCTTAATCACGAATATAGACAAACCACAACATTTTCAGTAGCGCCCACGCATGTGTTACCATCCTAAGTTACAGTATTTTTACGGCAGCCATTGTCATGGATATCTAGAAATGTTGTTTACGATTCTCATTACTTCAAGATAACAGTATTCAACGCACCACCAGATTTTGTTATTTAATGAGCTAATAACTAAGGAGACTTATTGTATTATAGTTTCTAATTTATTGCTATCAGTATTTCACTATAATTGGCTTTCTTTGCAATCATATATACACACATACATGGGTGTGTGTATTAGAAGCACAAAGCTGTTGAGTTATTACCAGAGCATCATTAATATTTCAAAAAATTCCAGAGGAGGGGGCCGTGTCTACAGTTTATAGTCAACAGTGCTAATTTGAGTGTTAGCCTAGAACTTTCTCAGGGGAGCCAGCATGTTGAGCAGACCAGGCCTGTGTTATTCTCCCTGTGTGTAAAGAGGTCCCAGGGGCCTCGCCACTACCTTGAAGGTTGAGTGCAAGAGAGGATTATTTCCATTAACTGTCTGTCTTGGGAAGCCTGCTCCCTTCTCATCCTTGGCCCCCACACAGATTCCTCTGGGAGTCTTTCCTGATGCCACCCCGTTAACCCCCTCCACTCACACCATTGTCATCTCACTACTAATGATCTCCCCTTATGTTGGAAACCTAATGAGAACTACCATAGATTTTGGAGCCAGACTTGGGTGGGGTTGGAATTCACCAGGCTGCCTACCCTTGGGGTGTCCCTCACCCTTCCCTAAGCCTCAGTTTTCTCATCAGTTCAATGAGAATCACATAACTTTACAACAGGGAGTCACACAACTGTACAATGAAGAGACACACAACCATACAATGGGGAATCACACAACTATGCAATGAAGAGACCCACACCTATTCAATGGGGAATCACACATAGCACAGTAAGGAATCCCACAACTATACAATAGACACACAACTATACAATGGGGGATCCCACAACTGTACAATGAGGATATCACATAATTAATTATACAACAGGGAGAGAACTCCCACAACTGTGCAATGGAAGCTATCTGCCTCATACTGGAAGTCACCCGGCAGTACAGCAAAGAGTCATTTAAGTGTCGATGGGGAGTCGCACACCAAGAGGACGGCTATGAGGATGAAAAGTATTTGTTTTTGCCATTCGGACTATGGTAAAACAAGTCAACATTTAGTAAGGTCCTTCTAAATGTTCTAGAAGGACATTTTCCCATATATGTGGAAGCCAGTGTTCAAAGTTCCAAACCATATTGTCAATTTCTATTCTTTCCTCAAAGAAGGCATAAGAAGCTTAGTCTTAAAAAAAAATAATAATAAAAGGAGTAATAGCTTTCGCGATGTAATCCTTCCTTTGGAAGAACTATTTATACAATTATTTTAAAATGACAACTGTCTTTATTGGTCTAACTTAGAGGTTTCTAAAACAGTGTTCTAATTTACCCCAACACAGTAAAGCTTGACAATATGTGTTATCCAAAACAAGGCGGTCACATCCCACAAGGCGCCTGGAGAGGAGCGGCCATGGATGTGGACAGTGCTTTCCAAGCATCAGCGTGTTTCTAACTGAATTACATCCATGTAAGGCAAAGGCCCAGGAGTCCAGACCTCCAGGAACTACTGTTTTCGATCCAAAATGTCTCTATTTTCTACTAAGATTCCTGGAGCAAAAAAGGGTCAAGACCCAATTTCATTTTATTTTTCTGGCATCACTAAAATCATTTGAATACCACTAAATGAGTATCATTCTTATGAATAATCTGATAAATACTACTTCTGTTCAGAAAAATAGAGGATCCCTGAAACGTTTCAAAGCTACAAGAATTATTCACAAATTACGGTTTTTAACAAGTGAAATGACAAAATAAGTTTAAAGAACCACTATCCATCACTTAGGGGGAAAGCAACTTGAGTACAAATAATAAGCTTATGAGAATTAACATATGAAAATAGAGAATATTACAGTTAAAGAAGCTAAAGCAATTTTATTCCCCTTATAATAACCACTCATACTAATAAGAGGGATTCTATGGAATAATCTTAATTTTGAAAGGCACTCATCCATCGGCGATTCAGAGGTGCTCAAGGTTGGGTTTTCAGAGAAGCTTAAGGATCCTAACGGAAAAGCGATGATCTACTGTCACGAGTTTTAGAGAAAAAAAACAAACACACCACAATTGTTCATGATTTATGTATGACTCAGGTCGGAGGGACTTCCTTGTGTGCCTTCTGCTCAGATAAATTCATATTTATGAAATGCTCAAACCTGGTCTCAGTAGTTGTCCCTACTACAATGCCATTTTAATCAAAAGCCTATTGTCTGTCTTACCAGAAGAACAGCCTCAGACTGAAATTATACAACAACATTTTAGCTTCCGTTTTTCAAAATCATATGTCTTTTTTTTTTTTTTTTCCAGGTGACATCTTAGAAATCTGGAAATTCCCACAACCGGGGAACATATCCAGTCTGGATGAGCTGATCTGAGTGTCTTCAAGGCTCCTGACCTCCTAAACAACTTAAATCTACCCTCCCCGCAAACAGAAAACAACTCCAGACAGACTCCCTGGGTTAACCACAGCCCATCGGTAATATGCGTGCTCTGCTCTTTGGCACTTCAAATTCAGTCTATACTCAATTGTGTATAAATAGTATCTTTTCAGGATGTATTACCTTTTGATGTTTATTTATTTTTGAGAGAGAGAGAGAGAGAGGGACAGAGTGTGAGCAGGGGAGGGGCAGAGAGAGAGGGAGACACAGAATCCGAGGCAGGCTCCAGCTGTCAGCACACAGCCTGACGCCGGGCTTGAAGTCACAAACTGTGAGATCATGACCTGAGCCACAGTCAGATGCTTAACCGAATGAGCCACCCAGGCGCCCCAGATGCATTACCTTTTGGACAAGATTAACAATTCCTCAACACAGAAAATTCATGTTTGCTGGCTGCTTGGTTTTCAGACTTTAACATATCATAATGGACTCTAGTCCCTGGAATGGAAAAGAAGAATGAGGGAGGTCCCCTAAAACTGGACTTCTGGCCCTACTTGCTCTTCCCAAGTGGGCAGCTTGAATCAAGGCCCAGAAGCGCACAACGGCGCCCCCTGGCCACTGGACCAGCAGAACATCTGAACTCAGAAGAGCCCGATGATACCTGGGAATCTTTCTCTATCAAGAGGACTGCGGTCTGGAGCTGGTCTGTCACTCCAGTAGCCACCATTCCTGGGCTCATCAAGGCCTCTGAGAACTTTGTGAATATTTAGGGCCACCTCCCTACCCTCCCCGAGCTTTGTGCTTGCAGATTCCCAATCCATGTCTTCACTGCTTTGGACCACAGTTCTGAACTTGACCCAATGTTCTGGGGCCCGGGCTAGTTTCCAACCTTCCGATACACACACAGTGGACAGGAGGGAACGACCTCCCAGAATCTACAGGACATTCCAAGTTTGTAAGCGTGGCATACAGGATGCTCTAGTGACCCCTGCATGATCCTCCAGCCCCATTTTACCCACCCCTACCCTCACTCACCCCTGAAAACGTGTGCTGCTGTGTGCTCAGACCTGCAATTACCACATGGGTCTATACTTGGCAATACCAGTGAGGTATTCCATGAGCTTGAACAACTGCACCAGTCTGTGCTGGTTGCTTGCATGACCCTCAAGGCCCAGCCTGTTAGAAATTCAGGTGGAGGGAAGCAGAGATGATTTCAG